CGGTCGTTTAAGGTGTTTACGGAGTATAAGTTCTTCTTACTATTCTAGATGCAATTTCTATAGGCACCCTCTATTATATACTCCTATTTTATATATTCCTACTATTATTAGCTTTAAATATCTTTATATAGGAGGAAGGCGGAGAAAGAGTACTTTTTAAGGGCCTCTGCCCTCTTTTCGCTCGTTCTTATTTAGGATCGGCCGGCCTTAGTAGGCGGTATATTCCTAGTTAATAATATTACCGTCGTTAACTATAAGGTATAGATTATTATTATCGTCCGACGAGTAGTATATATCTAATAGGTCGACGTCGCCTATACCGAAGCGGCGAACTTTCTTCTCGGTTATTATACGGAGAGGTAGAATAGAGTAAAGAGGGGAGGATAGGTAGTAAGAGTGCTAATTAGAGTATTAAATATAGTAGTTATTAAGAGGACTAGGAGAGACGGTAGAAGGGTAGAGGGAAGAGTCTTATAGCATATAAATATTACTCTTACGCGTATAATAAGTTACTAGCAGAAGCATATGCATAATAGCACCTAATACTACTTATACCGGTCGGAAGTAAGTAATACGTAATATACGTGCTCGCTCCCCGGTAGGTATTATTACTTAGGAGAGAATATATAAAGTAAATAAAACGGGGACTTAGCTATTTTATAAATATCTTATACTTTTTCCTTACGGAGTATACGTATAATAGTAAAAGGGAATAATAGCATACTTAAGGAATACGAGAGGCGGAATAGCGATATAGTCTTATTTTCGAAAATAAGTAAAGTAAATATAAAGTATATAAAAAGGGACACCTACATTCTACCGAGATAAAACCCTTCTCTTTATAAATAGTAGCCGTATAATAGTACTAGAGAAAGGGTATATACTCCGATTATTAATTTAGTTCTATAAAGGAAATAGAATATCTTATAAAAGGAAAAGAGGAGAGAGAAAGAAATAATAAGCTCTAGAACTAGCTCTATACCTACCTTCGAAACTACTTTAGTACTATTATACTACCTAAAGGAGGAGATAGCCTCTACTATTTGCCTTTTCCCTTACTATAGCTCGCCTCCTTCGTACTTACCTTACGGGGGAATCTTATACCCTTATACTAAGGATCTACCGCATTACCTACTATATTAGGGTTATTACTAGCATTTTCGCTCTATTTATACTTAAGGATACGGTCGTTTAAGGTGTTTACGGAGTATAAGTTCTTCTTACTATTCTAGATGCAATTTCTATAGGCACCCTCTATTATATACTCCTATTTTAT